AGCTTGAATCATTTTAGATCAGATACATAATAGATTAAGGCAAAAAGTGAGGCCAGCCACTAGGAAACCTGGCATTAATTGCAGGGTGGTTGTGCAAATTGAACAGCATTTTCCCTGGTGTCTTCATTACTAGTGATACAGAATAGCACAGAGTATGCAAGACTAGGTTAGAGAAGTTTCAGATGATGTTTCTTAGATGTGACTTCTGGCAAAGATGTTATACTGTAAACTACAGTGGTGTAGATATAGTGATATAGTGGTATAGAAATGCAGCAAATTTAGCCATCTGTGCAATAGCCAGTGGCCTCTGACAGAGGAGCATGGTGGACTGAGGGCAATAATGCCTTAAACTTCTGCAACTATGTCTGCCAACTTTCATCTCTGACAGGTAAGTCCCATCTTCTTGACAGGCAGGTTGGCACTAGAGTGATTAGGCTTATATACATGTGGTCAGCCTAAATGCAGTCCTTTAACACTTCTGGTGGTTCCTGGGTCTGTCTTAGTAAAAAGCAGTGCAGCAGAAATGCCAGGCTCCAAGCTTTGACATTTCTGTATGCTCCTTAGCTATTTATTTTTTTATCTCAGTGTCGTTAAATCACCAAAAGTGTCAAGTAAACTCCCCTCTCTTTCCGAAGAAAAATAAATGGAAATGCATCTGAGGGCTGCATAGTTTGGGTTATTGGTGTGACACTGGTGTGGTTGTCAGAGGGTAGGAACCTCCTCCAGCAGAAGTCAGGGTGCTGGGATTTGATGGTTATATCCAGCAAGTACATTGACAGAGTCTCCTTCAAATCCAACTCTTTCATTAGATACAGACTCTAACAATAAAAAGGGTTATTTCATACACTTCTGCATAAAGGAAAGATGTATTTTGCCAGAGCAGTAATAATTTTTTTTCCTAAGAATTGGTGATTATTCTGCAACCTTCTGAGTCTTTACTCCCCCCATACCAGTTACAAGCCCTACATTTAGACATCCTGCTGTGTCATCATGGAACAAATTTTATTAGAGTAAGATCCGTGGACAATGTTGCAAGTGCTGACACTTAAAATATATGTGATGAAAATGGAAAAGTATTTCAGTGTCTGAAACTTTACCTACACGGGAAGGCAAGTTAACTGTAAACTCTACGTTCACTGTATGTAACTGTCCAGTATTAATGCACCATGTTATCAGTCTTTATATACATTAAACATAAGATAGTTTATTCCATTGAAAGTGGAGCAAGCTCCACTAAATACAGTTTAGACAAAGCTTTTCAAAAGTAATTACGACTCCTTCAAAGGTAGGGTGAGCTCACAGTTACGTATACTACAGGGGAGCCCGTCAGAAGTTAGCTTCGCAAATTCACACTTTGTGCTTACTAACTAGACCATCCCAAAGACCTTAAATTTTCTAGGTAGTCTTTGGAGAGATTTGCCTTCTTTCTTAAAATAATTTTATTTGAAATCCAAACATGCTGAGAAATTTATATGAACATTTAGAACACTATAGTTTCTGTATTTAAGTCTTACAATTGTCATCATTGTGAAAAAGTTACCTAAGATGTCTTTAAAGTTCAGAGAGGCACCTTTAATCGTAATCACATGGTTATTGGATCTTTTGGTTTGTACTCCTGACTGCTATTTTCCAGACTGTGTTTACAGTTCTTTTAGTTGAAATGTTACCTGTATTTTTCTGGTGTCAGAATTCTTGTTGGAATTTTTACCATCTCAATTTTATACAGCGAATGTGGTGATTTTGAGTATTACCCTTTTTGATGTTAAAAAAGTGATAAAAGCATGTTTATATCCCTCTTTCACTGTACCCGCATAAATCAGTTAAATGCAAAAAAGCTGCATCTGTTATAGTGATTGAGAGTTACTAGTTTCTAATGTACTGGGATTTGATGACTAAAACTGACAGTGGTCTGTATGTAAATTTCCTAGAAGAGAGGAAAAAAAAAACTATAGGGAGCTTATTTTATCATCTTTCAAATATTAATTCTTGTCATGCTCATTTTCAAGTGAAGTTTCTACACCTATTCATAAAAATGAGAATTTTTAACAGCTTTTTTTAATCAGGACCATGTACGTGTTCTTGCTGGTAGAGGTATAAAGATAACTTCAATGTGCGGTGTTAGGATGAGTACATTGCAAATGCACATAAAAGAAATTGTTATGGACTTAAAGTTCTTTCTTGAAGTTTAGATGATCTTCATCTGCAAAATTTGCTTAGCAGAAATTTGCACGCAGCTTTCTTGGGAGAGTAATGGGAATTGTGTTCGTCTAGTCAAATGATGCATTTTGTTTGTTTTAGTGTGCTGTCTGTCAAGGTCTCCATTGGTGAGATCTGCAATTCATGTTCAGTAGCAAAATACTGACTGTTTTCACTACAAAAATCCTGAATCAGCTTTTTATACAAGTCTCTTTACTTTTGTGCTCAATACTACTAGAGGTAGTATTCCCAGTGATGCTTAATTTCTAAAGTACAGGGAGGATAGTAAAGGTGTTTGTATTTT